AATATTGTCCTATCCTAACAAACCATACATCAATGGAAAGCTTATTTATTCAGCTTTCAGATGATGTATACATCTCAATTTCACAAAATTGACACTTAAAGACTGGTTTTGCGGTCCAGGGTCACATATATATTTTCTTCCACGATTCCTTGACGAATAGAGAGTTCAAAAGAACAGCATTTATTTGAATCAAAATATTTTTTAACAATTTAAATGTCTTTGCTCTCACTTTTGATCAACTGAAAGCGTCCTTGCTGAATAAAAGTATTCATTTCTATAATAAAAATCTTACTGATCCCAAACTTTTAAACAGTAGTGCATGCTCTTTATGGATTATTACAGCAGGAAATGCAGAAAAGCATGTTCCAAATGTAAATACAGTGTTGAACAAGAACTTCACCTTCTATAAAGATTAAAGGTTAAAAAAAGATATTCTACAACAATACCTCTTTCGCATTGGACAGTCTTTCATAAAATGCCCAATCTTCCCACAAATCCGGCAGCAGCGGTCATTGGGTGCAAGCTTGCCCTCTGTCAGCACCTCTGGGTCAAAAAAATACTCCTGCAAACACAAGAGAGACATTAAGCACAATGACTTGTGAGCCGTTTTACAGAATTTGGTAACACTTTAGTTTAGGGACCAATTGCAGTTGCTTATTAGCATGCATATTACTATCATATTGGTTGTTTATTAGTGCTTATAAAGCACATATTAATGTCTTATTCTGCATGAGCATATTTTAGATCCCTTACCTAAACTTAACAACTACCTTACTAACTATTAATAAGCAGCAAATTAGGAGTTTGTTGAGGCAAAAATGTTGTTTGGTCCCCAAACTAAAGTGTGACCCAGAATTTACATGGTCAAGATAAAGGACACAAACCATTTTGTTGGGATACTCTGGTGGGAAGTCTCTGACGGGGGCGCCGAAAACTCTGCGGGCGTTGATGAAGGCCTTCATGATGAAGCTCGCCACTGCAAACAGCCACACGGAAGAAAACATGCATGCATATCAAGACAAGGGTCGTTTTCAAAAAGCCTGGGATGAGTCACAACAGTCAACAACTATATATTTATAAATGCGCTTAGAACACAAAAAACTTGCTCATGCAGGTATTAATCTGAAATGGTTTAATTGATGGATAACAGCAGCTAAACACAGGTGCTTCATCTGAATACGGTGGCTGAAGGTTTATACATCTGAATATAAACTTTAATAAAGCAAAACAAAAGCATGCCATACTTCTCCGTGAGAGACCAGCTCCAAGATTATGACTCAAATCAAAGGGATCTGAAAGAAACACACAAATTAACAACTACGATCTTGCAACACATACAGCGCTGAGGAACGTCAGTTTTAAAAGTAATGCACTACATTGCTGCTACTTTAATTATGTCATAATATATGTACAAAATGTGTTATTTTTTGTGGTTTTCTCTCTTGCATTTTATCAAAATGAAGCATATTTTACAAATGTGGAAATTCTGGCTACTGACTAGTAAAATGATTAAATGTGCAAGCCCTAATTTATATAAATGTGTATAATAAATAATGAAGTAAAATGCAATAAAAAATAAAATATTTGAAATGCAATACAAATTCTATTGCATACTATAATAATGTCCCATTTCTAAAAAGTTTGTGATTTTATTCTCTTTTTCTTCTTAACAGCTCTCACTCACTGTAGTGGAGCGGTGACGTAATATTATTCCTGTAAACAGTTTCCAGCATTTCAGTAATAATATTTTTTTCGCATTTAAAATGCATGCACATTACTGTGAAGAGCAACAGTTACCGTACAGGTCCACAATGGTCAAAAAGGACTTACAAAATGACTTTTAGATCGATCTCTTCTTGCAGACTCAAGAGATGTGGATTCGGACAGCACATAAATTACCACACGTTCTTGGTGTTTGTCACAAAACAGGAGGTAATTCGGTTGAAGTAGGTAAAAAAAAACACTTTCTGGACTTGGACAGCAATAAAAATCGCTGACTAGCTCTTGTAAATACCGAAGTTACCTTACATGCCCATGAGAAACAAATACTGTAAATTACCTTTTGAAAAGGTACATATGTGAGCCTGGAGCACAAAAGCAGTCTTAAGTCGCTGGGGTATATTTGTAGCAATAGCCAAAAATACATTGTATGGGTCAAAATTATAAATTTTTCTTTTATGCCAAAAATCATTAGGATATTAAGTAAAGATCATGTTCCTTGAAGATATTTTGTAAATTTCCTACCATAAATATATCAAAACTTAATTTTTGATTAGTAATATGCATTGCTAAGAACTTCATTTGGACAACTTTAAAGATGATTTTCTCAATATTTAGATTTTTTTGCACAATAGTTGTATCTCGGCCAAATAGTCCTATCCTAACAAACCATACATCAATGGAAAGCTTATTTATTCAACTTTCAGATGATGTATAAATCTCAATTTCGAGAAATTGACCCTTATGACTGGTTTTGTGGTCCAGGGTCACATATATTTGTACCTAAAGGGTCCATTTTAGTACGAGCTAAGGGGGGAAACGCGCCAGGTTCCGAAACAACGGGCCAGGTGTGAAAACACCCAAAGTGTACATATTAGAACCTAATAGGTACAAAAGTGTACCTTTAAGTGTACATATTAGAACCTAATAGGTACAAAAGTGTACCTTTTGAAAAGGTACCGCCCCAGTGACAGCTTTTGTACCTACATTTCTGAAAGTGTACATGTTCACTCTCAGAAAAAAAGGTACAAAATCTGTCACTGGGGCGGTACCTTTTCAAAAGGTACTAATATGGGCTATTTAGGTACTTTAAGTGTACCTTTTGAAAAGGTACCGACCCACTGACAGATTTTGTACCTTTTTTTCTGAGAGTGTAACAGGTTATTGCTGCATATCCATAGGTTCTTCGTCTGATATTTCAGCACTCAGTAGTTTGCTCTTACCCTCGATGGCGAGGTGTTTGGAGGTCCACTGCTTCTTGAAGGTGGTGAGAGGCTCTATCCTGCGGATGCAGACGACAGTCTCCTTGAAGTCAAACGTCTCGGTGTAAAACTGCAGCAGCCCAAACCACAGCTGCCCCACCGACTCCTTATTCTTCTTGTACCCCGGCCAGTATTTATGCTGAGGAATCAACAACAATCCCAGACTTATTGGCTATTAAACCACAAGTTCAAGGCACACATATAAAACACATTTGAAAAAAAAAAAAGAAAAAACCTGTTTCCACTGGATGCTTTATGACTGTCTGACCCCTTTTGAACTAAATTTGACCATGGATGAAACGCACTACATTCCTCTGGCCTTACAGAAATATTGTGGGTTCAAAGTAAAACTTTGACTCATCCCACTATTAATAAAATCACTTTTACAGTAGTGCACTTATTCTACTCATAAAAATTGCAATAATTATGATTTTTCTAATGCTTTTGAAAGAAGTCTCTAATTCTCACTAAGGTTGCATTTTTTTATTAAAAAATACAGTAAAACAATAATATTTTGTATTAATCAGAAATGTTTCTCGAGCAGCAAATCAGCATCTTAGACTGATTTCTGAAGGATCATGTGACACTGAAGACTGGAGGAATTAATACACTAGAAAACAGCTTTTCTAAATTGTAATAATATTTCACATTATCGCTGTTTTTTTGTATTTTTGATTTTTGGTGAGCAAAAGAGACTTGACTAGAAATGCACACTAAAAATCAAAGACTTTGAGGACTTTTGAAGACTTCTGTAGGGTTGCAAAAGGTGTAAAAGAGTTGGATTAGAAGATTGCACAAGCAAAGTTATTACACTAGTCTGTTAAAGTATGTAAAGTTTGTTTGTTGTTTTTTTACAAAAGCATAATTTGGGATAATAAAACTGATATAGGAGCCAAACTCCAGTTCAGATTCACTTCCACACACAGGATGACTTTAAGCAAACAAACACATTATTTTTACCCTCTGGTGCTCCTCATTTGGTAGTCACACTTGTGATCTTTACGGTCAAAAGTGACTTTTGACCGTATCGATGTGTGTATTAGTGATTTCATGGCACTAATTAATATTTATGCAATAATTATAATGAATTTCTGCCCATTGAAAATAATAAAAAAAAAATTTAAATATATTTTTATATTACTTTTCAATGAATGCAGTATTTCATGTTAAAATGGAGTCAATGCCTTTAAAATCCCATTTTAGAAGCCAGATTAGTGCCATCTGGTGGGGGTAAAATAAGAAAAACAAATGCAATTCCATGGTTTAGCCACTAGATTCCTATATACAGTAGCTCTACATAAAAGGCCTATAAATTCTCTAATTGTTTTTAGACATAAATACTTATTTTTATTAAGTTGTGGGTTTGGATATATATTTAGACATTCTCAAAGACAACTTTTTCTAAAGGTTTAGATTTTTTTTTTGGTTTGAAATGTTGATTTGAAGCGTCAGTTTTTGAATTATTATTACTACAGTCAAACCTGAACACAGAGAAAGCATTTTGTTACACAAAACATTACAATTCTATAAAAATGTAACAAAAATGAACAGAAATGTTTTATCCTTCTGGGTCTGATCTGATTTCAACCTCTTATTTCAGTTTTCGGACTCGTTTTGGCTATATGGTTATAGCCATACCAGTTCATTTGAGTGTGTATAATTGTGTGTGTGTGTGTGTGTGTGTGTGTGTGAGTGAGTGTTTGAGGGAGTGTGTCTGTTTTGCACTCTAGATGTTTTAGTGTAACCCCTTCCTTGCTGTACACTTTTTTACTGCATTGTAGTTGAATTATTGCTTTTATTTTACATATTTGCTGTGTTACAGTCACACCAGTTCATAGGTGTGTGTGTGTATGCTTGTGTGTGTGAGTGGATGTGTTGGTTTTGCACTCTTGCTGTTTTAGAGTTTCACCCCGTCATTGCCGTGTACTTTTTTTCTGCATTGTGTCAAATTTGTAGATTGTACATTGTAGATTTTTGTCGATTTCCGATTGTCGGTCATTTTTGACCAAAGATCACAAGTGTGTCTATTTTTTTTTTTTTACGACCACTTAAATCATGCCCTCATTTTTTGTGTGTTCACATTCCAAATGCCATAAAAGTCACCAAGTTTCGTACCATTCCGATGAAGATGTGATTTAAAAAAATTAAAAACTGAAAATTTTTCGTTCAAAAGTGACCGAAGAGCACCAGAGGGTTAAAACATATCTAAAAATCCCACTATAACACTTTAAAATTACAATTAGCTATTCTATTAAAATAATCTCACTCACCAAGTTCTTCAGATCACTAAAGAAATGAACATCCCAGCCATCGACAAGAACTACAGGCTTCTTCTCCCCAACATACATCTACAAAAACATACACAAAATACAAAATACAGTCGTTTAGGATGTACTTAATACAATATAGAAGAATCTAGACAACATGACTTATAATAAATAATCATAAATGTTCCATTTTAACCTTTATTCACATTTTTACCTTTTATTACTTATGCTGAAATATATCAGGATTATGGAAATATCTTTTTATGGATTGATGCACTTCTAAATTACATTAAAGGAATAAACGTAGGAATGGATTTTTGTTGTTCACATGTGCTTGTACATTAATGGTTAAAGTACTGCATTAAGTGTTGTAAGAGTTGTAACCTTGCATTTAAATAATTTATTCATTAAGAAAGCTATAATGGTCCAGAAAGTCACCTCTTGGAGAACTGGGATAACAGGCGGGCTTCTTTGTTGAAGGAAGTACAGCACCATCAGGGTGTAGGCATATGAAGACAGACTCCCACGGGACGCGTCGCCAATATCACAGACCTGAAAACACAATCATCGCTCTCCACATCAGAAATCTGTGATGCATCTCATTCAACCCAATGCAGAAGCTTTCCTCCGAAAGCAACTTTCTTTCTCAAACTAGCTTCAAGCGCAGCCACTGATGTGTACCATCTCTACGATATTTAATGAATGTGTCGAACTTACTTTAGCGAACACTTTCATGACGTAGCAGAGGATCTTCACCCGAGCGTCAATCGCAGCGTATGATGCCAGTAACTGCGTGTTGTGCAAAGCCTGAGGAAAATCAAACGGAAAAATCTCGGTTGCTCTTTATTTGACAGTATGTGCACTTACAGCAGACTTACATCAGAAGCTAGTGAGAAATATAAGTTAACTACTTGGACTTAATATGGGTTTAAAGTGAGGTTTAAGGTTAGTACCTTGTTATTATACTAAGCACCCACTGTAATATGTAATAAATATCATTGGTTTTCATTTAAAAATATATTACATGAAAAATATTTAGTAAATGTAAAAAAAAAAATTTAAAAAAAGTATAACTGTATAAAAACCTAAAACTAAAATAGAATTGATTTCTCCAAACATTTGGTTCAATCACAACGCACTGGATAGCTGGCCAATCAGAGCACACCTCGCTTTTCAGACCGATGAGCTTTGTAAAAATCGACACGTTTCAGAAAGGCGGGGCATAGAGGAGAAACAATAATGTACAGTATGTGGAAAAGAATGTTTTTTTTTAACCTTAAACTGTATAAACATTTCATTACACCAAATACACAAAATAATGTTCTTTTTTAGCAACGTCATATGACCCCTTTAACTTCGATTAATTCTAATTAACTGCTCACGTTTCTGTAATTTAGCACAAATAATTGCATCTAACATCGAAATTTGTGATCCTAAATACATTTTAACAATAATTCTCCAAATTAACTTTGAAACAAGACAATGTATTAAATATTTAATATTTTAAATATTTGTTTGATGACATCTTTTCACTAAGCAATACAAATGAAAGCCTCGATCACCGATCCCAAAACTGAAGCCTCTATTAAATTGATTTTTGGGGGATATCAATCATTTTTGCCAGTCCTGCTTTTAATGCTAGTTAGAAGTAACGATCTTAAGTTGACTTTAATGTGATCTACATATAAATACTTGATTTGACTTGATTGATGAACACAGACAGTCACTTCTGACTTCTTGCAATACCTAACATTCAAGTTTGATATCTGGAGCAGATTGAGAGCAACAAAAACACAAACAAAATCTATCTGAAAGACATAATATGATACGGTAATATAAAATGACTCTCGTAAATTTACTGAATTAATAGGCATGAAATTAACAAATGTGGTGCGTGTGAAAAACGTTATCTTTAGAGAGCAGAAGTGGGCAATAACTAGCATAAATAAAGGAATTTATTTTAGTATGCAAGCACACGTCAAGAGCTAAATTATGAAATAATGAACAAATCTAAATCACAAAAGCAATTTATTTACATTTCAAAAATCAAGCTTTAGATGCTGCAGTGGCTATTTAATGACGAGATGTCCGACCAAATTAAAATTTGTAATAAAAAAAAAAGAGAGATTTTATGAACGAAGGGGCATGAAGGAATCCAAACAAGCAGAGTACTTGTCTTATGCCGAAATATTGAAGTTTAAACGTTTGCGATAAGAAAGGAACTGTCCAAGATCAACAATGTTATCATTTTTACAGAAGCCACATGAGGGCTCTCTTCTTATGAAATATCAGCGCAATAAACAACTGCGATACTTATTGGCCTTAACGTCCATTTAATAATGTTGTGTCGGGTTTATTCTCTCACCAGTGTATTGTACAAGCTTATATCTCCCTCTAGTCCAGTTTTGGTGTGGTAAAACTTCACAATTGGGACTTTTGCGGTAGTAATAGGTAGGATGTTTCTCAGGCCTAAAATGAATGGATAAATAGACATGGCAGAGGTAGAGAGAGATGGGGTGTAAAACAAAACCACTGATTTATTTGAACAACACACATTTAGAGTAAATGGAGGTTGCCTGAAGCGTACAGACGGGCTCTTTGTCATTTCATTAACCATTCAGAAGATTAGAGGTACGGAGAGACGACAGTGTAGAAACAATACAGTCTTTTCCTTCCTAAAAGTCTCAAAACTCCATAATAATGCTCAATTTCATTCATGAGCACTGAATCCCTCTTCAGTAGAGTAAACAACAGACAGTTTCAGAATGACTCTCAAACACTGAGACGGAGAGCTTACTGTGGTGTTTCCGCAGCGCTTTAGCCAAACTCTCGATAACAGCCATGGAGTCCAAACCCTGAGAGAGGAGCCACGCAATCAATGCAAAACACAGGTGCAAACAGGGTCTAAAACGAGCTTAAATATAGTTTTACAGTCCGTTCATCTGGCTGGGTAAGATTTTGTCATGTTTTTTAAAACAGGTCTTATTTGCTCACCAAAGCTGCATTTATTTGATCAAAAATACAGTAAAAACAGTCAAATTGGGAAATATTTTTGCATTTTAAAATAACTCTTTTCTAAGTGAATATCTGTTAAAATGTAATTTATTCCTGTGATCAAAGCTGAATTTTCAGCATCTTTACTCCAGTCTTCAGTGTCACACGATCCTTCAGAAATCATTCTAATATGCTGATTTGCTGCTCGAGAAACATTTCTCATTATTATCAATGCTGAAAACAGTTTGCTTCACATTTTTGTAGAAACTGCTATTTACAATTTTTCAGGATTGTTTATAAATAAAACAAAATTTATTTCCACTTGTGCCTACTTTTCTTTAAAAACAAAAAGCAAAAATCCAATTCACCCATACTAATATGCAAAAATGACTTTAGATAAATTATTTCACATTTGGGGTGATAGGGCTTTTACGTTTGCCAAAAATAGAACTTTTTATATTAAAAACAAAGAAACAAGCCCAGCCCAGATTTAAAAAGTAACGCAAAAGTAATGCAAAAGTAATGTAACGCATTACTTTCCATATAAAGTAACTAAGTAGTGTAATTAGTTACTTTTTTAGGGAGTAACGCAATATTGTAATGCATTACTTTTAAAAGTAATTTCCCCAACACTGGTCATGAAGACCTCGTATAATTGTAGAAATAAGTCACAGTACCTCTGCTGTGTCCTGGCCTTCTAGAGTCATACAGATGTCCAAGTCGCTCTGTTTAAAGCCAAACCCATTCTTGGACGAGCCAAACAAAACCAACTTGGCTCCTGTTAAAAAAAATACACATTTTTGAAAAAGCTTATTGTTGCGTTCATAGAGCGAACCTTTGACTGATTGCTCGCAGTTTAACACAAGTTACTCCCATAATTCACACAAAGTGTCATGGGGTGTAGGAAAAAGGTGGATAGAATTGAAATCCAATATAATACAATACATTAATATAGACGATACACAATAGACAGAATTACAATGAGCAGATATGTTATTAACAGATTTGTGCAGCATTTTCACTGGACAAGGTGTTATGCAGCAATGCAGAAGAAAAAATATTTCAGTGTATGACAATTGACAACACTATTTAAAGCCTTCATGTATAATGCATTATTATAACAGCAGTTTTGATGCATTTATTATGTCTTGTAATTCACCTTATAATGCATCAAATGATCTCATGAATAATTGTAACCACTTATCTTATTCATTGTTACACATTTAGAAAGTATAATGCATTAAAACACATGACAAACAAATATTCAAATATCATACTGCATTTTAACATTAGTTACAGTTAATTATGAAAAGATATAACGCATTACAACTTACATTATGAATACCTTTATAATGCATAAAGGCTTCAAGTAAAGTGTTGCCGAATTCATTTTTCATACTTACCTGGCACTTGGCATCTCAGGAAAGTCTCGAAATCTTGTAAAATATGTTCTCTGACTTTCACCTCCACATCATCTGGTGCAAAGTCACCTAAATGAATACAACCATTTTTATGAATCACTGAAACTATATGCAAAAAATGAAGTGCAAGCTAAATTTCAACATTTGTTAAAAACAGTAACAACAACAAAAAATTGAAAAGATGAATGCACCAAAGTCAAATTTATATTGATCAGTTCAAATTTATTTGTATAATTTTTGAAAAAGCTTATTGTTGCGTTCATAGAGCGAACCTTTGACTGATTGCTCGCAGTTTAACACAAGTTACTCCCATAATTCACACAAAGTGTCATGGGGTGTAGGAAAAAGGTGGATAGAATTGAAATCCAATATAATACAATACATTAATATAGACGATACACAATAGACAGAATTACAATGAGCAGATATGTTATTAACAGATTTGTGCAGCATTTTCACTGGACAAGGTGTTATGCAGCAATGCAGAAGAAAAAATATTTCAGTGTATGACAATTGACAACACTATTTAAAGCCTTCATGCATAATGCATTATTATTACAGCTGTTTTGATGTATTAATTATGTCTTGTAATTCACCTTATAATGCATCAAATGATCTCATGAATAATTGTAACCACTTATCTCATTCATTGTTACACATTTAGAAAGTATAATGCATTAAAACACATGACAAACAAATGTTCCAATTTCATACTGCATTTTAACATTAGTTACAGTTAATTATGAAAAGATATAACGCATTACAACTTACATTATGAATACCTTTATAATGCATAAAGGCTTCAAGTAAAGTGTTGCCGAATTCATTTTTCATACTTACCTGGCACTTGGCATCTCAGGAAAGTCTCGAAATCTTGTAAAATATGTTCTCTGACTTTCACCTCCACATCATCTGGTGCAAAGTCACCTAAATGAATACAACCATTTTTATGAATCACTGAAACTATATGCAAAAAATGAAGTGCAAGCTAAATTTCAACATTTGTTAAAAACAGTAACAACAACAAAAAATTGAAAAGATGAATGCACCAAAGTCAAATTTATATTGATCAGTTCAAATTTATTTGTATAGCACTTTTCACCATAGGACTGATAAATGGTTAATCGCGATTATTTTGCCCAAAAATATAATCATGATTATTGATCACGATTTACATTTCATTAAAATTATTAAGCACAAATTAAGCGAACGTCAACTTGCATGGTTTGCTTGCTGATTTAGTCGTAGCCAACCGCGCATACGACTGCGTGAAAGAAAACAGACTGGCTGTATTACACTTTTATTTGAGAAATCACTAAACTCCATCTTACATGTTCGCCGGTAGGGCTGTCAAAATGACTGAAAAACTAAATTAGAATTTTCTACTTAAATATTATCAGAATTCTAATTATATTCGAATTTAAAAGGCATAATTTCAGTTAGGGGGAAAAAAAGCGTTTGGCTTCTCTCCTGAGGCCACAAGAGGGCGCATCTCGCAAAATATTATGCACGTTTCTTCAAAGCATAATAAAATAACACGACTATCTTTGAAAAAAAAAGCGCATAATGTTTAAAATTATGTTTATAAACCATAATTAATAAAGTTGCTTAAACAATTAGAAGAAGAAAAACATCACCATGCATGTACAGGTGCATCTCAATAAATTAGAATGTTGTGGAAAAGTTCATTTATTTCAGTAATTCAACTCAAATTGCGAAACTCGTGTATTAAATAAATTCAATGCACACAGTCTGAAGTAGTTTAAGTCTTTGGTTCTTTTAATTGTGATGATTTTGGCTCACATTTAACAAAAACCCACCAATTCACTATCTCAACAAATTAGAATTTTTTTTTGGCTATTGCTACAAAATTTATTTGATTTATTATTGATTCAATTAATTAATCGGTACATCATGTAATTCATTAGATTACAAAACGTAATCACCCTAATTACAATATAATACATATGTCTACAGACATCCATGATATTCTTCATTCTCTGGTTTAGTTCACAAAAATAACAACTAAAAAGGAATGCCTGAAAAATCGTGTTTTGCTCAATATACTGACGGTGTACTTACGGTAGCATTGCTCACAGACTTCACTGAGGATCTGGAGGAAGTCTAGAGTCATAAGTGGAAGGGGTTCAAGCTCCATTCGTTTGAAGTCCTCGGGACAGTCCTGTTTCGAATGCCCATCGCTCTTACAAAGGCTGCATATCAGAACGGGGGACTAACAGAGACAATGAAGGTTAGTCTGTCACTATGACCCGCATTAAACTAAACTAGACAGAGAGAAGATGTGCTGGAATTGCTGATGCAGGAAGTTATTAAATGTCAAAATTATGAATAAATGTCAACAGAATTATTTTATATTTGTGACCCTGGACCACAAAACCAGTCATAAGGGTCAATTTTTCGAAATTGAGATTTATGCATCATCTGAAAGCTGAATAAATAAGTTTTCCATTAATGTATGGTTTGTTGACAATATTTGGCTGAGATACAACTATTTGAAAATCTGGAATCTGAGGGTGCAAAAAAATCTAAATATTGAGAAAATCAATTTTAAAGTTGTCCAAATGAAGTTCTTAGCGATGCATATTACTAATCAAAAATTAAGTTTTGATATATTTACAGTAGGAAATTTACAAAATATCTTCATGGAACATGATCTTTACTTAATATCCTAATGATTTTTGGCATAAAAGAAAAATCAATAATTTTGACCCATACAATGTATTGTTGGCTATTGCTACAAATATACCCCAGCGACTTAAGAACCTTTCTCAACAATTGCTCAACAAGAGCATCTAAATATCTGGCAACAATGAAACCTTTTACTTTTTACTAATTGCATGACTGGATGGATTCACACAGACATGCAAACTGAAGCTCAGTAGCATTTTTACCTTGCCATTACTGAAGAACCGCTTGCTGAAGACATACTGAAAGACTTCAGGAGCCGTCGGAGGAGATTCGGATTTGGTAAGCTCGGCTTTGGGTTTGTTTAGGACAGACGATGCTTCCTCAGACCCCCCATCATCACTCATCTCCCGCTCGAACGGGAAGATCTCATCGCCCCAATGATCACATCCAGACCCTTCATCTTCCTCATCTTCACCCTATAAATGTTCATTTGTTATTTGTCTGTCTATTTTAACTCTTTCTCCGCTATTTTACAAGACCATTTAGCTGAAATTACACGGCAAATATTTTATTATTTTAACTGGAAAACATCCAACTTCCTTAAAACAAGACAAATTTACCCAAGCAGCTCATGCATGAAAAAAAATTCAAGGGGATCATGTCATGAGGAATCAATTTTTTCTTGACTATTATAATTTTGCTTGACTTTTCTGGACTGTTCAGGGCCTTTTTCAGGTCCAAAAACAGTAAAATAATGCAAAATGGACAATTAAAAAATATATATATTGCCAACCAATAAGTGTTATTTTATTATTATTTATGTACTATTATAGTATTTCTGAATATTTTGAATATTTCATTTTCATTTATAAGCTTTAGTAATTTTGCAATGTGCTTTTGTCTTTTTTAAATATTTCTATGTAGCATTACTTTATTTTAAATTTATTTTTGGCTTCAATTTTATTTCAGTTAGTTGACAAGTTAAGTTTTTCATCTAATGTGAAATAAATCTTCTAATATTCAATCTAATTTTATTTTACTTTAGCTTTATTTAAATTAACAAAACTGGTTTAGTTAACAATAACAACACTACACCCATATTACATTTTAAATGTGTTAAAGTAATGTTGAATTTTATAGTACTGAAATTGTACAGCCATAATTTGTTAATCTCAAATGTGGCTAAAATCAACTGCATGAGGAATAAAAAGAAAACCTCAAGAAAACCAAATAATTGGTTTAGGTTTTATTGTGTGTGTCTGTGTGTATGTGTGTGTGTCTGTCTGTCTGTGTGTGTGTGTGTGTGTGTGTGTGTGTGTCTGTCTGTCTGTCTGTGTGTGTGTCTGTCTGTCTGTGTCTGTGCGCGTGTGTGTCTGTGTGTGTCTGCGTGTGTGTCTGCGTGTGTGTGCGTGTGTGTGTCTGTGTCTGTCTGTTTTTTTATATATATATTTCTATTTAGTATTATTATTTTTTTATTTATTTCAGTGTTAGTAATTTTGATACTTCAATTTTATTTATGTATATATATATATATATATATATAAATTACTTCAGCTTTTTTTCAATTAACAAAAATGATTTTTAATGGTATTAGATAAAACCTCCAGAAAACCAAATAATTGTAATTTGTTTAGTTTTCAGTAGTTTTGCTATGTGCTTTTGTCTTTTTATTAGTTTTTTGGGGTTTTTTTAACGATCAATGCATTCCCGCTCATTGCACACCTCAGTCTCTATGTCAGAGTCGGCTTCTTCCTCCTCGTCTCGCTCCAGCTCAATCACGCAGTCCGAGTCTTCCAGCTCTTCAGCGCTCTGCGGACTGGACCTCACACGAGACCTGTTCAAACCCTCCGCTGCCACTCTCGGGCTTCTCTTCACTGAATCAACATGGTTCGCAGCTCTCACAGATTTGCCAGACTGACTGCTTGAACTGACCTTCCCTGCTGGGCTTTTTGAAGGAGAAGCGAAGTACTTGTAAGTTGTTTTGAGGCAATGCACCAAATACTCAAACATCATCTGACTATTCAACATCCGGGCCACGTTCCTCTGGACGGCGAATGGATCTGAGAAGAAAACAAAGATCTGTTTCATATCTAGACATATAAAAATAACTAGCTCACATGATGCGATGCACACCTTCTATTGCAATCCTCTTTTTGGGCCAGTCTTTCAGATCGCGCCACAGGTCACCGTTTGTGCGCACGCTAATGACTTTCTCAGGTATTTGAAATTCCAGTGAATAATATCGTAATAGCTCGATCCACAGCTTCCCTAGCAGCACACAAGGACTGCGGCCATTGAAAACCAGCGGACACTATTGAAGAAAACACAAATCACAACTCGTTATTTTGTTCAAATATTTTTCGGCCCGACCTCAAAGTTGTCTTCAAATCAAACGCTGTGACGTACAGATCAGGAATAAGAGGCTCACCTTTCCCTTCTTGACAGCTTTATCTTGGGACGAGTCGCTTGAGGTTTGATCATATACCCAAAGCACATGTCCTTTTTCAACCCCAGTTAAGGAGAAACTCTTCAGTTTACTCACGTGCAAACCCTAAAACAGAACACAACATCAGTCTCTGCAGCTTAAAATTTGCTGTTAATTAACTCAGATGTAGGTGACTTTTTTTATTCAGTAAAACAGTAAAGAAGATTTTTATTAAGTCAGCAGCTTTTGAAAATAAAAAAGCATATCAGGCAACACAAAATGAATACTCCTGATGACACATTGAGTTCTTATGAAGCGAAACGATCAGTCGGTGCAAGAAACTGAACATTATTTACAACATTATTACCTGTATATTTACACAATTACATTATTAAAGCACCCATTAATGATGTGAAACGTGGATGTTTTGCACGTCTACAGCATATAAAGTGAATAAACTAGTCTTAATCAACAATGAGAAACCATAAAAACGTTAATTTCACCCCTTCATTCAAGCTCTGGATTACAGGTAATAATGTTGTAAATAATGTGCAGTTTCTTGCACAGACTGGTCGTTTCGCTTCACAAGACATCAATATATCGTCAGGAGCCTCAGGTATTAATTTTGTGTTCTCTGATATGCTTTTTTGACTCTCAAAGTGACAGTCGCTGCTGACTTGCACTTTATGAATCCCCAAGGACCACGGTTTCAGCGAATCTTCGATGCCTGAGGGTGAGTGAATTATCAGCAAATTTCATTTTTGGGTGAACTATCCCTTCAAGTTTTGCCTCTCATTGGTGTAAATCCCATATTGTTGTTTATTACAAGGCTCTCTGAAATACTTGCATGTGATTGGTCAACTGCAGTATTCTGTTAATGATTGTACAGATCATTAAACTGTAACAATTACAATTTAATTTCAGCTTCAAATGTAATTTTCTCATATTTATTCACTGATTCGGCGAGTAGATGTGTAGTAAGTGTGTTCATTCCTGCATTAGCGTCTTGGTCCTAATCACTGTGTCAGGGTTGTGTTTTGCTATAATGGCCATCTGACTGCACATTATCTCATGTTACCTCTTCATAAGGTTCCAGATGCAATAATCAGGCATTGGCCCTATAAACTTTTATCAACTGTTGCATTAATGTTGAATCACACACCACAGATTCTAGGTATGACGGTAAGACGGGTTCTTTGCATCGCTGCAGGAAGCTGATGACCATGAGGGCAAAGCAGTAGGATGGAAGTCCACCTTCTTCCATCTGGTCCACACAACAGATCTAATTCACACACACACACACACACACACACACACAAATATCACGAATGTTAAGAAATAAAGGAACCCTAATGAGACAAATATTGTTTTTTTTTACCCTACATACTATCTTCTGAATTAAATGGCAGTCTCACCTTAGCCCAGTATCTAAAGCATACGACCAGCGGGACGAGTTGTGGTTCCAGATTCGCCAGCTCAGCCAAATATGCTGTTGTCAAGCATGCACTTTCATTGCCTGCGCTGACTTTGCACTTTAAAGTTGTCCAAATGAAGTTCTTAGCAATGCATATTACTAATCAAAAATTAAGTTTTGATATATTTACGGTAGGAAATGTACAAAATATCTTCATGGAACATGATCTTTACTTAATATCCTAATGATTTTTGGCATAAAAGAAAAATCGATAATTTTGACCGATACAATGTATTTTTGGCTGTTGCTACAAATATACCCCAGCGACTTAAGCCTGCTTTTGTGCTCCAGGGTCACATATGCCATAGTTCATGTGTTTGCTATCAAAGTATAAACACAGCTTGTCCAAACGTCAGTGATAATTAGCCGTCTATTAGGGGTTTGAGCCAATAGTATCTCACCTTCTGAGAGGCATAGCCTTAATAATTGATATATTACTTTGTGATGCCTATAATGACTTAATGCTATAGTTTATCAACTGGTTTAAAATAAGGAAACTGAGGAAATAAAAATGAACCATTTAAATGTTAATATAAAGCCAGAATAAGATGTATTAAAAGAATATTTCCTTTCTACTCACATGGGATGGAAACTTCACATCAATGTTTACATCAGAGTCTTTGAAGCCAAACTTTGTGCAGGAAGATCCGTATAACCTGAACTTGCAATCTGCAGGGGAAGCGTGAATACAAATGCATTGAGGAGGCATCAAATAAAGCAGCATTGAATTTACCGCTGTGCTGTCACACACCTGGAAGGACAGGCTGAAGGACTTTCTCAACGAGAGTGAGGATGTTTTGCCGTCGTTTCATATCCGGATCGTTTAAACCGAACTCAGCGACCACACTTTCCAGAGCTGAGCTGAGCGAATGACACTGGGCTTTTCCAGGAGGAGGGATGTTCAACAGCAGCGTCAGCTTCTGCAGCTCCTGTGAAGAGGAGACACACTTCAACCATGAACCACAGGCACAGATGTTTGAGCCTAACACTTTCATCATGATTCCTTGCCTTGGCTTTCTTCCTGTGGGCTCTTTCTCGGATGTGACTGAGCGCTGGTGACATGTCATCACAGTACACCTTACACTTATCACATCTGAACTTCAGGCTGATGCTTGACTGATAAAAACACAAAGAAAGAAACCAAATCAGATTATGTGAAGAAATAAGATCAATGTACACTACTTCTCAGAAGACTTTTTTGTGAACGGAATTAATTCTTTTATTCAGCAAGGACGCATTAAACTGATCAAAAGTGACAGTAAAACCATTTATAATGTTACAAAAGATTTCTAAAAATTACTAATAAATTTATAAAATTTCTATAAAATAAATTTGTATCACAGTTTCCACAAAAATATGAATCAGCGCAACTGTTTCCAACATTGATAATAATCAGAAATTATATATTAGAAGCATATTAGAATGATTTCTGAAGGATCATGTGACACTGAAGACTGGAGTAATGAAGTTTGATCACAGAAATAAATTACATTTTAACAGATATTCACATAGAAAACAGCTATTTGAAATTGTACTATTTCACAATTGTTGTTTTTACTGTATTTTTGATCAAATTTCTGCCTTGGTGAACAGAAAAAGACTTTTCTTTCTGACCTGAAACTTTTGAAAGCTAGTGTGTTTAGCTGCTGTACTGCTGATATGCTACGGTAATAAAAGTGCTGCATTAATAATTGTAAATATGTATTATTGTACCATGTAAACATTATGGTACATTAATATGGTATTCCTTCAGCACCATGGTACCACCACAGAAGTGTTTTAAAACACTTTGAGAGTATCGCTTTTCTAAATCATGACATTTTGCCCAGAATACTTTTTTAAGTTCTTAAAAGAATAGTTCACCCATAAATGAAAATTTACTCCTGAGGCCATGCAAGATGTAGATGAGTTTGTTTCTTCATCAGATTTGGAGAAGTGTAGCATTGCATCACTTGCTCACCAATGGATGTGAATGGGTGCCGTCAGAATGAGAGTCCAAACAGCTGATAAAAACATCACAATAATCCACAGCACTCCAGTCCATCAGTTAACGTCTTGTGAAGTGAAAAGATGCGTGTTTGTAACAAACAAATCCATCAAGACATTTTTATTTTTAAGATGTCATTTCTGGCCAAAATACGAATCCATAATCCATAATCACGCTTCCTCCAGTTCCAAAGACTGCTGTCCTGTTGTCTCTCACATCAAAATCCACAGGGTGAGCACATTTTCAGCAAATTTTCATTTTTGGGTGAACTATTTCTTTAACTGGTCACAGTCTATAACTTACAAACCTCTTTAAGGTCACAGTCACTGCCTTCTGCTTCCAAGCACAGCTGTAAAACGTCCCGTCTAGTGAGGCAGCTTTCAATCCGGACAATCCTGCTCTTCTCCCTCCAGCTCTGCACGCTGCCTGACAGACAAACGTGATGTAGACAGATATTAGCTTCGCTTTTAACCCCAGTTTCATTAGGTGACAGGTTATTCGTGCGTTTTACCGAGCTTGTCGTGTTTCTGTCCATCTCGCTGTCGTTCTCTCCAGTTCCTCCGGTCAGCAGGTGAACCCCTCTGGATTCGGTCCTTGTGAGAAGGACTCGGTCCGAACACTCGTCCCTCAGGAGAGCTGCACGACAGTGAGGCTTTGGCTCTTCTGCTCCCCTCACTTTCAGAGGTTCGACCGTGAGCCCGCTTCTTCGTTTTAGGACTGTAACTGCGCTCACTGTCCCGTCCCAACGGGCTCCGCCAGCTCTCAGCTTCATCTGCTTCCTTCTGTCTCCTGTATCGCGGAGAAAACTTCCGGTTTCCCTTCTCAGCCATCGTGGATCTGGATGGGAACCAAGATCAATATGAAGAAATAAGAATAAAAACGGAATGTGAAATCTCAGTCACATCACGGACACTAAAATCAGTCTTTTTGATTATGAGGATTCACAAAAACAATACAGTGATCATAAAAGCTGAATGAAATCAGATACTAATTTTGGGAGGTTGATTCCAAAAAATAGTGCCTGTCTTGCTCTATACCATGTCACACTTAATAACAAAATACGATGGATTTCATAGCAATTTTGCTTTTGACAGCCATTTGAAAAGTGAAAAGGTCTGGAATTATCACGTAATCGGCAGAACAACTGAAGAGGTGTGATTCCCGTCTTCTTCTGAGCCAAATTACAACTTGGCTATTTGTTCAATTCTCAAACGATTTTCACATGCATGAATGATTCTGATGACATTTTATGCCTAATCCTGAAGGGACGAATTATTGCCATTGACAGAGGTCTCTTGAGGCGTTTTGGAGTCGTTGCCACAGTTCTTCTCAGTTTCTTCATGTAATCTCAGACGAACTGGAGGATGATGCTGAGATCAGATCTCTGTGTGCAGCACTGGCTGCTGACCGTCATATAAAAATCTCACTGGATTATTACAATTACTGCTAAAATGAATGTTCGGACATGTAAACTGATATTTCCTACTGACACACTACAGCTAAAGACAGAAATAACTGGCTTAAACCCATTTTTTGTTGGAGAAAACACTAATGGCCTAAGACTTTTCCACAGTACTGTATATATATTAGTCCAAAGAATAGCTGAAATTCCCATTTTGCACACATTTTTGACCGTGACAGTGAGAATCATTTATATGGATCACAGAAACATATCGCGCAGTATTTCTCCGTGTATGTTGTGAAAGCTTCCAGCACTGCTGTGTAACTGCAGCTTCCGGAGGACAAAGAGCAGCTCGTGTCAGGCAGGAGTCAAACTATCATCAGCGACAACACGACAGCCTGTCTGATGTGGTCGTGCCCAACTCACCCGATCTAATGTCGCTCTTGCTTTATAAATGCGAGCGCGACATGCCGTGAGTTTCCCGGTAACTGTAAGCGTGCAGGTGCCCGAACATTAACCAGCCTGATCCTGACCCAAACTCACTTCCGCCGGCGGCGCTTCTGTCAAACCATCGGACTAACTTAGTTCCTCTGTCTGAAATGAGTAAGAGCATAAAAACAAACCACTCGGCTTTTAATTAAGCCTAAATAAAGTGCGAGTTTAATACTCTGCTTTTTAAGTGACAAACTTGACAAATAATCTTGAAATCGCTGTTAATTTCTCAGACGATGTGTATAGCTGTTTACATCTTGCACTTCCGGGTCCCACGTGACGTCAAAATAAACCGTCTTCTCGTGATTTAAAGCGGCAGTGCTTATTTCCCGTATAAATCCCTTTATAATATTAAACCTCGTTTCTTTTATCTCTAAAATTAATTTCCGATCTGCGGATCTTGTATTTCGCTGAAACATGCTGCATACTCGCAGAACCAGGGTTGCCAGATCTGCGTAGCTAAACTAACCCAATGACCAATTAAACTAAACACAATACCAAAATTCAAAGACGCCCCTCCCAATCATAAAATACAGATTTTATTCACAATTATCCAACATTTTAAAAGTAAACCAATGCTGCAGGAAAACCTCAGACCTGGCAACACAAGACAGAATGGAGGCTTAGGTAAAACTTGTTTGAAATCAAGTTTGTACCAATGGTACCAATTACCATTGAATGGATCGAATACTGTGATACAAGCAAAAAAATAAATAAATAAAACACTACTAAAATGTACTACAATCACTGTTTTTTGTTTGAAAATGGTAATGCTACACTCCAAAAATGAACAAATACTTACATATGTCGACATACTTGTATCAATTTCCATAATGCATGTTTATTTTATCTTCAAAATATCAGCTGTTTTCAGGAATAAACACTGAAAAAAAAAAAAGTTAGGCAACAATGACAACCATTTGCTAGAGAATTACAATTTAAGAGAATTAGATTGTTACATTACATTCATTTGCTACAACTTGTTGCAAGAAATGCAGCCAATCTGTTAGTGTCACTCCAGTTTAAAGGTGCAAGCCCTTTTCAATGCAAGTAAAAACTACTACTTTCAAAAACGGCTTTTAAGCTAACGGTGATTCTTAAGGAATTCTTCCATGTATGCGGCGAGAGCCTTCACATCTTCAACAGTCACTGCATTGTACAGGGAAGCCCGGATGCCACCCACTGACCTGAAAATACACCGTGAAGCAATCATGAGGCAGGATACAGAATCTAATTACTGTATAATGTGCTTTGCTTTTTTTTTTTAAATATTTTTTCATTTTTTTAGGACACACTGAAATGACAGCAAGCATGTCGTTAAACATAACATTATATTCATTTTGACTAATTAGATATTTTCGTTTCTTCTCAACTGATTAGACATATTTACCTTAACTAAGTCAAAAACTGTCAAAATGATTAACATCATAAACATTTACTTCAGAAAATTCCAAATCCTGTATGCTACTGCAATTCAAATTAAGACGGAATCGTATTTGAAAAGTCATCCTCTATACATTTCTGAGTGGCGCATAACTGTGTATAAGACATTTTATCACTGAATTTTATCAACCGAAAATGAAAATTTGCTGAAAATGTCCTCACCCTCAGGCCATCCAAAATGTAGATGAGTTTGTTTCTTCATCAGATTTGGAGAAATGTAGCATTGCATCACTTGCTCACCAATGGATGTGAATGGGTGCCGTCAGAATGAGCGTCCAAACAGCTGATAAAAACATCACAATAATCCACAAGCAATCCACACCACTCCAGTGCATCAGTTAACATCCTGAGAAGACAAAAGCTGTGTGTTTGTAAGAAACAATCCTCTGCAGTGAATGGGTGCCGTCAGAATGAGAGTCCAAACAGCTGATAAAAACATCACAATAATCCACAAGCAATCCACACCACTCCAGTGCATCAGTTAACATCCTGAGAAGACAAAAGCTGTGTGTTTGTAAGAAACAAATCCATCATTAAGATGTTTTTACTTCAAACCATTGCCAAAATACAAGGAAGTGTTATTATACAGGTGCATCTCAATAAATTAGAATGTCGTGGAAAAGTTAATTTATTTCAGTAATTCAACTCAAATTGTGAAACTCGTGTATTAAATAAATTCAATGCACACAGACTGAAGTAGTTTAAGTCTTTGGTTCTTTTAATTGTGATGATTGTGGCTCACAAATTAACATACTTTCCAGAAGGCCAACAATTCATTAAAAATGTTTTTTTTTATTGGTCTTATGGAGTATTCTAATTTGTTGAGATAGTGAGTTGGTGGGTTTTTGTTAAATGTGAGCCAAAATCATCACAATTAAAAGAACCAAAGACTTAAACTACTTCAGTCTGTGTGCATTGAATTTATTTAATACACGAGTTTCACAATTTGAGTTGAATTACTGAAATAAATGAACTTTTCCACGACATTCTAATTTATTGAGATGCACCTGTAGATTATGGGCTGCAGTTAAAATGCCTTAATAATGGATTTGTTTAGAAACACGCAGCTTTTGGCTTCTCAAGACATTAAGTGATGGACTGGAGTGCTGTGGATTACTTGTGGATTATTGTGATGTTTTTATCAGCTGTTTGGACTATCATTCTGACGGCACCCATTCACTCCATTGGTGAGCAAGTGATGCAATGCTACATTTCTCCAAATCTGCACCCATGAAGAAATACACACATCTAGACACTGAATGGCCTTAGGGCGAGTACATTTTCAGCACATTTTCATTTTTGGGTGAACTGTTCCTTTAAGTAAACTGCTGCATCCCAGACTGACCAGCACGGATTTATCCGCAAACTTCTTTGTCCATTTAAATTATGCATGAATCAGTAGTTATTCAGTGTAGATTGTGCAACATTACTCCTCCAAAAAAGCAAATGAAAATGTTTGTTGTGAAACTATGCAAACACCATGAACGATAAGATGAATTACAAAAACAGACGTAACATTTTCCTAATTTTCATACAACACCTGTGTCCTTTAAGTGAGATCATGCCAAGTTTCGAAGCACCATCCAGGAATGCCTTCTCAAGACTTTCATCTCCTTCCTTCTTTCCGATGCGGAACGGAATGTTCATGCGGCTTCGACACGCCTCGTCAACCGGGCATCTGCAAGAGAATGTACAGTGCGTGAAAAACAGGGCGAGAAGTCGTTTTGACAAAAACTAAAGTCTGATGAGAGAGCATAATGTGGACAAATACTGCATTAGTTAATTATTAATATTTATTATAACAATAACTGTTTTTAATTTGACTAAAATCCTTTTTTTTTATATATATTAACTATTAAATAGTGATTAAAAATGAAAGTTGAATGTTTAATATTGTATATTCGGAATAACCTTCTGTACGAGAAGATTATATTCCATCTGCAAAATGGTGATCCAAGTGTTTGGATGTGATTAGGACAGATAATGACGGAATCACTAACGAGTAGAATCCATTGGAGTGGTTGATGTTGTCATAGATGATGTTGGATTTCTGTTTGTTTAGTCGTTCCATGGCATCCGCCCCGCCGTTGTTCTTGATCCACTCCAGAACCAAAGCCATGATGTAAACGCTGTAAGAAGAACAAGCATCTACAAGTCATAGTTACAAAACGGTTCATATTTTGAGCAAATGTTGAGGTTCAAAAGAAAAAGAAAAAAAAACAGGTGAACACTGAATCATAAAAGGGTTCCGAGAAATGGAAAATATTGTGTTGTTACTTTTTATTAAGTTTCTTCCTCATTTAGGATCTACAAACATGGCTGTGTGTTTCTGTAATTATATCAAGTTGAAGATATTTCAGATAAGATGTGAACAAAGCCATAAAAACATAATTAAAAATCTGACTGGATGCCATTAAAACTGTTGTAAAAAATGTGCAATACGCAGATGGATATTGACTATTTAACTAAATTCAAAATTAATGCACCGAGTTGCAATTTTTCTTGGACAGTTATAAATAGCCTAAAGTTAGGCTTGCACAGTTTCCACAAAAATATTGTGTAGCACAACTGTTTTCAACATTGATAATAATCAGAAATGTTTCTTGAGCAGCAAATCAGCATATTAGAATGATTTCTGAAGACTGGAGTTATGATGCTGAAAATTCAGCTTTGATCACAGAAATAAATTACATTTTACTATATACACACATAGAAAACAGTTCATTTAAATTGTAATAATATTTCACAATATTACAGTTTTTACAGTATTTTTGATCAAATAAATGCAGCCTTGATGAGCAGAAGAGACTTCTTTCAAAAACGTTTTTAAAGAAGTCAAAAATCCACTGCTGCTTGTTTGGTAAGCTTTCCTATAGCTACTGAGAAATGGCAAGCTGATAATTATGCATGTACTTTAAATGAAGTCTACAGAGACACAGTATGATGTCCAAAGGAAAGCCGTACCTGAAGCATGGAGGAGTGTTGTAGAGCGAGTTATTGCCAGCCTGCACCTGATAATCCAGTATAATAGGACACTCTTTCAGGGCCTTGCCCATCAAATCCTCTCTTACGATGACAACCGTCACACCCGCACAGCCCACATTCTTCTGCGCGCCGGCAAATATCAGACCAAACTGTAGAAACACACAGAGACTCACAGCACTAACAAAAGATTAGGTTTAAAAAAAAAAAATCAGGACCTTTTGATAAATGTGAAAAACTACTGGGACGAGCGTTTATGAGACGATAATGAACTTGAAGAAGCATCACCAACCTTCGACACATCCACCGGCCTGGAGAGGAAGTTAGATGACATGTCGCTGACCAGAAGCACTCCTTTAGTGTCCGGGATGAAGTTAAACTCAACGCCGTGCACCGTCTCATTGCAGCAGTAGTAGACGTAAGATGCTGAAGGATTCAGCGACCAAGTGCTACTGTCTGGGATTTCTGTGAAAATGAAGTTCAAGTCATGTGAGGATTGTTCAAGTCAAATGAGTGCGTTTTATTTTTATTAACGTCATCGTAGGTTATTTTTAAACTGTACATGCTGATAATATGTGACCCTGGAGCACAAAAGCAGTCTTAAGGGTCAATTTTGTGAAATTGAGATTTATACATCAGGCTATTGCTACAAATATACCCCAGCGACTTAAGACTGCTTTTGTGCTCCAGGGTCACATATAATATTAATTAAATAAAATGCCACTTAGATGTACTTTCTTGGCTATGTTTCTTAACGCACTTAAGTAGACTTTTAAAAAGTTCACTTTGTAATAATGTAAAATTAAAAGCTTTCTTCTTTCGGTTTTAATAATCTTCTGTCATGCTATAAGTGCATTTATTTTGATGTGCTGACTAGTAGTAGTATATATTTATTTAATGCCATGTCAGCATCAAAGGCTATTTTCATGACAAAAACAGTTAAAAAAAATACAAGTATAACAAATACAATAAAAACCAGCAAACAAACAAACACAAGTTATATCACACAAGATTTTTTACATTAACATGTGATAAAAATTCTAAAACCTTTCCTGGCAAAATTTTACTTTAAGTGAGTTCACTTCATAAAAGAGAGTTTTCTCTGTACATTAAAAGCTGGACAGTCCAATCAAATATGTTTAACAGAAAGGGGAACCTTGCAAAACATACACTGAGTAGGGTCTTCACCTTTAAGCAAAAATGCATGAGTGATGTGCTGACTAACATACTAAAAGTTAACATTTTAAATACACTAAATTGCAACTTTATCATTACAAAATGTGCAATTACGAATATATTTAAATGTACGTCATATAAGTTGCAATAGAAATGACATTAAAGTATATTTTAGTGTACCATAAATGCTTGTCAGTGCATTCAGCGGTACACTTTATATTTCAAAGACAATAAAAGCAATTCTGAAATTACATTTGAAGATGTACTTAAGTGGGTCAAAAACACTTCAGCTAATTGCATTTAATATAAATGTAAACTCTAATATATTCTAATTTAATTGCAATTAGCATGCATTTAAGCTCCTGAAAGCATGACATTCAGTTCACACTTAAGTATATTCTTTCAAAGTATATTGTTTTCATACTAAGCACTCTTTTTTAAAGTATGCCAACGCGTCACAAGGGACACACCAATTCTTTTGGAAAGAATGTAAAATACATGTTTCAGAAGACTACAAACCGTGTTTTTATAAAGATCTTCTGTTCTCTCAGCACTGAAAAATATAGCTCACTATACTGTGATTACTCACTGGTGTAGCTATCCAGTTTCGGATGAATCACGTTCACTTTTCCATACTTCTCTGCCTCTTTGGCTGCCTTTGCAGACCAGGTCCCCGTGACCACATAATCAGCACACCTGTCCTCCTTCAGACCAATCAGATTGAGAGGAATCCCGCTGAACTGTCCCGAGCCTCCGCCTTGCAGGAACAGTATCTTATAGTTTTCAGGTACATTCCTGTTCAAAGTGAACAACACAGATTATACATTTGTCATGGAACATGAACGAAGACATTAATAACAGATGTAAAGACTCACAGAAGTTCACGGAGAAGGTTTTCAGTACTGTTTATGATCTTGGAGAAATCAGACGATCTGTGGCTCATTTCTGGTTGCAAAAGAGAAATAAATGCCTCAAAAACATGGCATTACACATACAAACGTGTATATTAAAAATGCAGATCCTTACCAAGAATGCTTATCCCAGTGCCACTGTAATCCAGCAGCTCCTTCTGTGCTTGGAGTAAAACCTAAGAATAGAATAATATCCATTCAATAGCTAATTTCTAATAATAATATTTTTTTAGTATCCAAAACAGGTTTGGCTTTGCCTGTACAACCATAAACAGAAGGTCTTTAGAACTGGCTTTTAAAGGAGTAGTTCACTCAGAAATGTGAGAGGACAACAGGAGATGGACTTTTTCACCGAAGCGTTATTATGGATTATGGACTCATAGTTTGGCCAGAAGTGACCGTTTAAAGTTAAAACGTCTCGATGATGCATCTCACCCTCATTCAATGTGTAGATGCGTGTATTTCTTTATAGGAACAGATTTGGAGAAATGTAGCATTGCATCAGTGTCTCAGCAATGGATGCTCTGCAGTGAATGGGTGCCGTCAGAATGAGCGTCCAAACATGAACTGTCCCGAGCCTCCGCCTTGCAGGAACAGTATCTTATAGTTTTCAGGTACATTCCTGTTCAAAGTGAACAACACAGATTATACATTTGTCATGGAACATGAACGAAGACATTAATAACAGATGTAAAGACTCACAGAAGTTCACGGAGAAGGTTTTCAGTACTGTTTATGATCTTGGAGAAATCAGACGATCTGTGGCTCATTTCTGGTTGCAAAAGAGAAATAAATGCCTCAAAAACATGGCATTACACATACAAACGTGTATATTAAAAATGCAGATCCTTACCAAGAATGCTTATCCCAGTGCCACTGTAATCCAGCAGCTCCTTCTGTGCTTGGAGTAAAACCTAAGAATAGAATAATATCCATTCAATAGCTAATTTCTAATAATAATATTTTTTTAGTATCCAAAACAGGTTTGGCTTTGCCTGTACAACCATAAACAGAAGGTCTTTAGAACTGGCTTTTAAAGGAATAGTTCACTCAGAAATGTGAGAGGACAACAGGAGATGGACTTTTTCACCGAAGCGTTATTATGGATTATGGACTCATAGTTTGGCCAGAAGTGACAGTTTAAAGTTAAAACGTCTCGATGATGTATCTCACCCTCATTCAATGTGTAGATGCGTGTATTTCTTCATGTGAACAGATTTGGAGAAATGTAGCATTGCATCAGTGTCTCAGCAATGGATGCTCTGCAGTGAATGGGTGCCGTCAGAATGAGCGTCCAAACAGCTGATAAAAACATCACAATAATCCACACCACTCCAGTGCATCAGCTAACAGCTTGCGAAGCCAAAAGCTGCGTGTTTCTAAACAAATCCATTATTAAGGCATTTTAACTGCAGTCCATAATCTATAATAACTCTTCCTTGTATTTTGGCAATGGTTTGAAGTAAAAACGTCTTGATGGATTTGTTTCTTACAAACACACAGTTTTTGTCTTCTCAGGATGTTAACTGATGCACTGGAGTGGTGTGGATTGCTTGTGGATTATTGTGATGTTTTTATCAGCTGTTTGGACTCTCATTCTGACGGCACCCATTCACTCCATTGGTGAGCAAGTGATGCGATTTCTCCAAATATGATGAAAAAACAAACTCATCTACATCTTGGATGGCCCGAGGGCAATTTCATGTTCAGCAAATTTTCATTTTTTGGGTGAACTATTTCTTTAAATGAAATTCCTTCTATGATCCTAGCAACCTCAGTGAAAGATAAAAGGATGGAAATGCTAAACACGACTTGTGTGAAACCAAGGTGAAATCGCCCATGCAATCAGTAACAATCATTTACAACAGACAGCACTTGGAGAGAAACAACTAAAACCCTGCATTTCTGTGAAGTAAACAACCAACAACACTCAGAATTAGTGAGGTACCTGATGAGAAATGGCATGCCACTAATAATGTGAATGTTGCACATGTTTCATAACAAATCAAAACATGTTCAATCTAAATCTGTAAGCTTGCACACCTTTCTTTGGCATTTAAATGTGCTCTGAACCGATCTGAATGTATGAAGTGTATTTGTCATTTTACATTTTCTCCTGTACTGATTTGCAGATCTAGAGTTCAGTAAACAGGCGAGTCTGGATGCCAGATTGCGGCTGACGCAACATTGCACCCTGTTTTTATACAGTCTATGATCTAGACCAGCAAAACGCACGTGTTTTTTAAAACTCACACACTGCATCCAAACCCTGCATCCAAATAACGCACAACGATTTTGCGCACTACATTATCACAATATATTTTTGCATGTACAGTAGTTTGTAAATGATTATAATGTATAGATTATGTAATCTGATATGATCGCGCTGCATTTTTTACGCTTCTCTATGACGCATAAACAAATGTTTTACAAAAATATAATCAACTTTTAGTGTGCAATAATGAATAATCCTAAATAACCAACATTTTTTAGGGATGCACTCACCGGCTGAGGAAGTTTAGCTGGTCCCGCTCCAAAATTAATGGTCTGTTTGTGCTCCATGTTTTGAAATAAAGCTCTCTGGGATGGCCGTGCAATATAAATCTTTCTGAAACTCTTCCACTTGACCTACTTTTCTGTAAGTGGTTTGGACTGGCACTATTATTCTCTTTACACATGATTACACCTAATGTGCGAGTTTCCTGCTTGTTTTCATTGGCTCACGGTTTCCGGAATGTCTGCTTGCGGCTGTTTGATTGGATGGTGTGTTTGTGACGTTGCTGTGATTGACACGTGCGTTTCACAGCATTAAATATTCATGAGCTTCTGCGCCACTAGTCAGTTTTTTTGCGCTTTCACTTTTTTTCTTTGGAAACTTCAGACAATTTTAGAAGTGTTGAGTTATTTTCTGAAACTAATAATATCGTACTATTTTTCTCTCTCTCTCTGTAGGATCCTTTGTAGTTTCGGACCTTATTGACTTTCATTGTACATTTAAAACATTTGTTCACTAGGGCCTTTCCTTGAAGATTTTATTTATATATTTGTGTTTGTTTTTATTTCACTTTTATTTTATTATTTTACTTATATTAGGCCTGTGTTTGTCGCAGTCTGCAGCGGGTGTTGCAATTGAGTCCTCGCTTCATCTCCCCGCACGCACCGTGACAGTGTTTTTTTTTTTTTCCCTTTTTTATTTCTGTGAATGAATATTTAGATGTATTTCTTTTCTGTAAAGTGCTTTGTTATGGAGGACCAAACATGCTGAATGTTTAAAGGGGTCATATGATATTGCTAAAAAGAACATTATTTGGTGTAATGAAATG